TTGTCATGTAAATGAAAATGCATGAAATGTTTATCGTTTTTAGTTGAAAACTGTCATGTAAACACCCCTAAAACTTCTAGTAGGCGTAGACAAGTTACTATTTTGAAGAGTGAGTCATTGAATCATTCATTCAACTGATTTGTTCAAAATAGCTCATTCATTAGTGGAACAAAGCAAGTGACTGCAGGTCTGTATTCAAACTCTATAGCAATAATCTATAATTTTCAGTGTTGGGGGTAACGCATTACAAGTAATCAGATTACTTTTTTCAAGTAACTAGTAAAGTAAACGCATTACTTTTTAATTCAGAAGAAAATATCTGAGTTACTTTGTTTTCCACTTTATTGACTGACAGCTCTCCTGTCTGTCTGCATGTTGAGAGAAATCAGAAGTGCAGAGGCATTTTTTGCACTGTGTGAACACGTTACTGTACTTCTAGACTAAGTGTCAACATGCATTTACTCATCTCACTGCACAAAAAGAGATTCAATATTCCTCAAAATGAATAAATACATTGAAATGTAAACTCAAAATATTATACAAACCTGCAATAACTAAATATGTTAAATATGACAAGTATCATTTATGCATCTAATCCCATTTTATTAACCAATGTCTTTGCTACTGACCTTCGATGATCCAATTCGACCATTACTAATAGGCAAAAATAACACATTTGTATTTCATTTTTGTTATTGCTGAATAGTGTTAAACTTTCTTCTCCTGTATTCGTTTCACTTTTGGTGTGAAAGGTCTTTTACATTTGTAAAAGAAGAACTTTTTTATATTAAAAACAAAGAAGCAAGCCATGACCAGATTTAAAAAGTAACTTAAAAGTAACGTAACGCATTACTTTCCATTAAAAGTAACTAAGTAACGTAATTAGTTACCTTTTTAAGGAGTATATAGAGGAGAATATAAGTAACTTCCCCAACACTGATGATTTTTCTTCATCTTCACCCACAGTCCGAGGCGTCGGAGACACAGCTATTCCAGAAGCAGGAGCCGCTCTCGTTCCCGTTACAGCAGGTCACGGTCACGCTCCTATTCCCGCTCCCGCTCTCGCTCAAAGTCACACACGCCCCGCAAGAGGAAGTCCAAGTCTCCTTCCAGGTCTAGGTCAGGTTCACGATCCAAATCCAGGTCTCGTTCCAGAAGCCGCACACCTGCGTCAAACAGAAACTCTAAGTCCAGGTCAAGGTCTAAAAGCCAACTGAAATCTGCTGGGGAAGAAGGGCCTGCATCCTAAATCTCTTAATTGGTGAGAAAACACGACACCTACCTGTGCTGCAATTCACTGGAATAATGTGCAGGAAAATAGTTCAGACTTGCAGTCGCATCGCACTGGTAAAAATTTGACTTGCACAGCAGGATTTGGTTCTGCTTTGACAATGCTGTGAATGGTGTTGAACTCAATGTGGAATTGTTTCCTCCAAGCTGCTGAATCCAGTATGGCAAAGTAAAAGCAGGGCTGTGTGGTGCAGTTTGAGCTGGTAGAGGGGTATGTGATCCAGCTACCTGCTCCTGTTGGGATTGCTTTGAAGCAGATGGGTGTTTTGGTGGTGCTAAGGTACGTGTACGAGACAACGGACAGACAGCGTCCTGCCTTAGTAAAAAGTAAAACAGAAATTGATGCCAGCTGCTTACTTAAAGCTGGAAATGTGAATAAACATAATTGCGTTATGGTATGAGTAATTTTATATCATGAACATAGTATAAAATTACCATATTATGTATTTTATTTAAAAATGTATTTTTTTTACTATTTATTTGAGATCGATACACTACACACACATATGCATATACATAGACTGCCGTTCAAAAGTTTGAGATCAGTAATATTTTTAATGTTTTTTAAAGATTCTTCTGCTCATCAAGGCTGTATTTATTTGATCAAGAAAACTGTAAAATTGTGAAATATTGCAATTTAAAATAGCTGTTTTCTATTTTAATTTATTTTAAAATATAATTTATTTCTGTGATGCAAAGCTGAATTTTCAGCTTCATTGCTCCAGTATAAAGTGTCACATGATCCTTCAGAAATCACTCTAATATGCTGATTTATTATCGATGATGAAAACAGTTTTTGCTGCTTCATATTTTTTTTGGAACCTGTGATACAGAGATACAATTTTCAGGATGCTTTGATGAATAAAAAGTTACAAAAGAACAGCATTTCTTGCAAAAGACTGAAGCAGCAGAAACAGTTTTCAACATCGATAATAAATCAGCATATTAGAATTTCTGAAGGAACGTGACACTGAAGACTGGAGTAATGATGCTAAAAATGAAGCTTTGATTCACAGGAATAAATTATATTTTAAAGTATATTAAAATAGAAAACAGTTATTTTAAATTGAAATAGTATTTCACAATTTTACTGTATTTTTGATCAAATAAATGCAGCCTTGATGAGCAGAATATTCTTAAAAAAAAAAAAATCTTACTGATCCCACACTTTTGAACGGCAGTGTGTATATTTATATAAATATATAAAAAATATATTAAAATACATTTAAAAACATTTATAATAATCTATAATTATACTCTCTTTGGATACATAATGTTAAACTGTTGCAACACTAGTTAAAAACAAAAAAGTATTAAACAAATCTTTACATTATAAAGACCAAGAAACTTTATAAGACCAGTATTATAATTCTGATTCAATGAGAGACACATGAAGCCATTGTAAATTTGACCATTATGAGCACGTGTGCCCGCCGGACGTCATACTGCCCAGCCCTAGATGATACTGTCCGAAATCTCAGGAAACTGACGTGACGTAACGTGACATGTAGCCAAGTATGGTGACCCATACTAGGAATTAGTGCTCTG